ATGGTGGTTTGCTGCACAGATCAACCCATCACCTAGGTAGTAAGCCCTGCATATATTAGCTATTCTTCTTGATGCTCCCCTCCTGCCACCCCCACGACAGGCCCCAGGGGGTGTTGTTCCCCCTCGTGTGTCCATGTGCTTTCTTCTTTCTGTTTTTAGCCTCTGTTTTGTAAACATCTAGCATATGACTTGACAGAAAGTGGATACTATAAGTCCTCCAAAACACTACAAATACCACCATATTAAAAACAAAGTAGGGAGGTTGGAAATAACCATGATTTAGCTTTCATACATGTTTCATGATGGTTTGCAGTATATATGAATTCTCTGCTAGATGAACTTAGAAAGCTTAGATTTTCTTATAAACAGTTTCATGCCAATTCAGTCTCTAACAACTTCCCCTAGGAAAGTAATGAATTCTGACTGGGCATATCTCCAGGATAAATATTTTTATTATTATTATTAAACACAGAAAACTAACACGGGAATAAAACTCTTCTGCCAAAGCATTTCATAAAATAAAGTGTTAGAGATATCCTCCTGGACAGTTTATTAAAAATGGTGAGGCTCCAAGGCCACATCTCTGTGTCTACAATGTGGCTGAGGGTTTATACAGCGACAGCCTGAGCTTGGTGCAAACCTTTCTGTTTAGTCATACAGAAGGACCAACTGCAGTCAAAAGACTTCATTAGTGACTAACCAAGGGGGACGAAGCTGTTTGGCTGAGCTGTTGTAGGAAGGTTTAAAAAAAAAAAAAAGAGTTTAAACACACACCAGGCATGGCGGCTTATGCCTGTATTCCCAGCACTTTGGGAGACTGAGGGTCCCCAGGAGTTCAAGACCAGCCTGGGAAACATAGTGAAACCCAATCTCTACAAAAAATTTAAAAAATTTAGCCAGACATGGTGGCACACACCTGTAGTCCCAGCTACTAAGAAGGCTGGGGAAGAAAGATCGTGTGAGCCCAGGAGTTTGAGGCTGCAGTGAGCCATGATCATGCCACTATATTCTAGCCTGTGTAACAGAGTGAGACCTTATCTTAAAAAAAGGTTTCAAACAAATGCATTTAGGTCAGGCTCAATGGCTCATACCTGCAATCCCAGCATTTTGGGAGGCCAAGGCGGGCAGATCACAAGATCAGGAGTTCGAGACCAGCCTGACCAACATGGTGAAACCCTGTCTTTACTAAAAATACAAAAATTAGCCAGGGGTGGTGGTGCGCACCTGTAATCCAAGTTACTCAGGAAGCTGAGGCAGGACAATTGCTTGAACTTGGGAGGCGAAGGTTGCAGTAAGCTGAGATTGCGTCACTGCATTCCAGCCTGGGTGACAGAGTGAGACTCTGTCTTAAAAAAAAAAAAAAAAGCATTTATGTGTTTCCCAAAAGTTTGACTACTGATTTCTTGAAAGGTTAGAGAAAGTATTTGTGACCGTATCTCCAGCGCTTAGCATCAGATCTGACACACAGAAAGGGCTCAATAAAAATTCGTTAAATGACAGAGTAAATGAAAGGTGTGATTAATACTTCCATCACGAAATAACAGCTTATACATTTGTTTACACACACATTATGGACCATATTCCAGAGCTCTTTACTCTAAAATTAGAGTACTTGTTGTCCTGAAGTTCATCTTGTGAACACATTTTTACCTTCAAGTAAAATAGTGAAAAATCAGTTTAAAAATAAATTCTAAAGAAATTGCTCACAAAAATTTTACCTTTTCCAAATTACTTAAAGAAGAAAATGTTTACTATTTGCTAATAATCTGTAAAGAAACTTTTTAAATGGAAATGGACTTTTAATTCAGATTAAAGTGAAAAGAATATGATTCCCTTAGAAAAGGGGGAATAAGAGGTTTAACCAGTAGCTAATTATGATGATGTCAGCTAACATTTATTAAGAACTTATTGTATGACAGTTGCTGGTCTAAGTGCTATACAGTATTGAATCATTCAATTCTCAGTAGTAGGTACTATTTTTACCTCTATTTTATAGATGCTGAAATGCAAACACAGAGAGGTTAAATACCTTGCCCAAGTCATTTACTAGCTAGTGCAGAGACGGTGTTTGGCCTGTCTGGCTCTGGGGCCCTTACTCTTAACCACTCTGTTCAACAACCTCTCTGCAATAACCATAAATTACCTTTATATTTCTTTCCTTTTCTTCAAATGAACTACAAGATACTACTGTATCTTGCCCTGAAATTTGGCAATATCATATTGTGTCTGCAATATATTTTTCACTGTAATTTACAAATATAGTCTAATTCTGGTGTCAGTGTGTGTCTCTATGCCTGTGTGTGCATGAATGAGTTTATGTAGAGGCATACATAGAGAAGATGGCTATTTTTTTGAATCCAAAAGTGGGATCGCTTAAGTAAGGCTTAAAGGTAGATTTACACTCCCTTCTCCGTCTCTCCCTAGGGTATTAGTTTGTACTTAGGCTGAAGAGTTAACCAATAAATCGAGAAACCTTTTAAAATATGCTGTTAAAATCACTATTTTATTTGCTCTATTCCCAGGTATCAAGGAAAGAAAAAAAAAACCTCAGCATGCTGATATGTCTTACCAGGTGCATGGCAGAGCTCCGAGGCGGATGTGGCTCAATAAGCAACTGAGATGGCGTCTGTCCAAAGTTCTGTATCTGTGCCTCCATGGCCTGCAGGGGAAGGAGGGTGATTGTCATAATCAATATGCATCAAAGAGAGAGGCCAACACACTCTTTGACAATGCAAGTGTATCCCAAGTCAGCCATGAAAAAAAGTCCAGAAAATTCAACGGGTGCTCTTTTCTCAGGGTGCAGAATCATCCAAGTGTTAGTATTTTGTAGACAAGCTTTGCTTCTCCTTCCAAACATGCTTCAGTTAACCCAGTCACTATTCTTATTTCCAGAAGCTGGGGTTAAATGTGGAAAAGCTAACCTGTGAATACATGCATGCAGCTAAAGACCAAAGAACACTTTCCACACTAAATACAGCACATATACCTTAATAAAGTCCTTTGTAAGAAGGAACGTATGGGGGTCTCTAATGAAATAAGTTTCTGGAATCTTAACAGGGAAAAAAAGAACGAGACATAAAGCCTACCAATTATACAAAATAAAATTCAGAAAGTTATAGGTTCCAATTAATTCAGAGGACAATCAGTAGAAAGAACACCAAGATTTTATAGAGTAATTAAATATAACAAAACTTTTGTTACAAAAATATATTTTAGCTTTCTATGCTGTTTTAAGATGAATTCTGGAATATTATTTTTAAGGTATAAATTCATTTTCTCAAATTTTTTCCCTGAAATTTTAGAGAGAACTCACCCAAAAAAGAAAGAAATCTTTCTGTATCCTGAGCTACACACTATTTCATTAAAGCCTATGTAGCTGGAAATGAGATTTTATAGCTTCCAATGAATAAAAATAATTTTAGCCCTCAAACTGTCTGGACTGTACAATATACCTTTCTTATGTGTGTCAAAGAGATAATCTTAAAAGAAACGTAAGTATTTCCTCTATACATAAATTCTATAGGCAAAATCTTTCAATATATTAAGCTAGACTAACAAAAATATTTTTCTGAAATATTATATGTAATTTATGTCAACAAGGAGAAGCATGATATTTACTATGATCATTACTCTGCTACCATGCTAATTTTTTCCCTAAATTGTATGCAATTTGGTTGCACATAAAAGTGAAATATGAAAATCATAGCTAGGTGCTTGTAGAAGCACAGGTAAGTTGGTAGATGGCTCCTGACATAGCACCACCACTAATCTCATTGCTATCTACAATTCTAATTTATAAAGTACTTATATTTGAAAATCTGCCCTCCTACACTGCATTTCAAGAAAATATTTATCAATAAAAATGTGAACCTGCAAATTTATTAGCAATATTAAAGGTGAATGCATCATCTGCCATATTTTAGCCATCGCGTAAATGGGACTTTGGTTCTTTTATCTGCAGAGGCAATGGGATGAATTATTAAATCTCTTTAAGTGCTGTCCAATTTTTATATATACATTTATTTGCATGGTGTCCACTCATAAGTGTGACTATTTAACTAAATTTTATTCACATATGATGCATTTACATCCTACTTGTTTTCCCCAATGCAAGATTTATGATTATAAAAGGGGAACAGACCATTTCTGGTTAGGTTCACATTTTTAATAACAAACTCTTGAGAATTATTTGGGGAAAAAAAGTGGTAATTTTATTGTTAATGCTGCCCTGGTTAGCAAATGTCTAATACCTAGATTCATATATCATTAACAGCTAAATGTCTCTCTAACAACAGATAGTGCTACTCCTGTTTTTACTTCCCAGAAAAAGGACTCAAGTGGGAGTGAGGAGTCAGTGGTAAAATTAAACATGTTTTAATCTCTAGATCAGTGTCTTGCACTTAGTAGGCAGCCTTTAAATGTTTATTGAAGGAATGAGTCAATAAACATGCTTTGCTTGACTCTAGTTTTGTTTCTTAAAGGAAAGTATTAACATGTTCTAGAAAATGTTATGAAATGGATAAAATTTCTAGAAATCTTCTGTGCAGTTATCTTCAGTGAGTCTCAACTCTGACCTTTTTGGATTAAGGCAGAGTACATATGCATGTATATTTAAAAGAGCTCCCCAATCAGACATCAGGATAAAGACGAGATTGTGACTAACTTTATCCTTTCATTAAGACAGTCAGTTCTCAACACTGAACGTTTATTTCTTTTGAGACTATACTGACTCCCTCTTCCTTGTGATCTACTTTACATGCCTTCATGACTCAAAGGATCTCAGTCCAGTATTTACCTTTTAGCTATCTGGTAATCCTGCCTTCCAGTAATTCCTTACCCTCTGATTTAAAAATGTACAGATCTTTCTGATCCTGAAAAGCATGCTGTCTCCTTTAAGTTCTACTTCTTATCATTACCAAAACATCTGAGGGGGAAGTGAACGCCTACTATCTTTCTTCACCTGCTCCCCATGTAAGATTTTCTGTCCTTTCCCACTTTCAGGGAGTCATCAATGACTTTCTTGTCAAGTGTGCAGGTCCTGTGCACAGGAGGGTTGCCTGGTGACACGCAGAACCCATTCTGCAACCCATGAATTGTTACAATGAAGTAGTTGTTCTGAGAGCTACTCCCTATGTAGGAGAAAATCCTCCCCGAATGCTAACCTTGGGCAGGGATCTAAATCCTTCACCTCCCAGACTCCCTAAATCATAATGAATGCCCTGCATATTCTCACAGCACATTTTTCTCTTTTACTATAGATTTTAACACACAATTATTTATGTATGTCTGTCTGTTCAGAGTGAATCTCTGCAGGTCAGGACTGTGACTTAGTCTTAATAGAGGCTCTAAAAATATTTGCTGAATATATAAGTAGGGCATTTGTATAAAACTGAAACCTAGTCTAGAGAAAGAAAAGTACTTCCCAATTTTTTACTTTTACAATTCAATACCACAAAAACAATTAACAGACATTTGTTGAATGGTTACTCTATGCCAAGGGATACAAAGTCAGATACCAGACTGCCCTCAGGAAGTTAGCAGCCCCCAAAATGAAGACGATGAGTGTGTCAGTGCACATGGTAGGGAGCAGGACCACAGGGGAGGCAAGCCCAGGCTGTCCTGGGAGCCCAGATGAGTGACAGAGGAGAAGAGGAATAGATTCTTAGAAAAAAGGACAGAGTTCAGGTTTGAAGATTAAGAAGAAGTATGGGATTATGTACAAAGACCAAATCTACGTCTGATTGGGGTGCCTGAAAGTGAGGGGGAAAATGGAACCAAGTTGGAAAACACTCTTCAGGATATCATCCAGGAGAACTTCCCCAACCTAGTGGGGCAGGCCAACATTCAAATTTACTTCCTTTTTCTTTTTTTCTTTTATACTGTAAGTTTTGGGTACATGTGCATAACGTGACAGGTTTGTTACATAATGTTACTTGTGCCATGTTGGTGTGCTGCACCCATCAACTCGTCAGCACCCATCAACTCGTCATTTACATCACGTATAACTCCCAATCAATCCTCCTCCGCCTTCCCGTGAAGGCCGGTGTGTGATGTTCCCCTTCCCCGAGTCCAAGTGATCTCATTGTTCAGTTCCCACCTATGAGTGAGAACATGCGGTGTTTGGTTTTCTGTCTTGGCGATAGTTTGCTGAGATTGATGGTTTCCAGCTGCATCCATGTCCCTACAAAGGACACAAACTCACCTTTTTCTAATGGCTGCAT